TTACCACCAGGAAAGCAGCTCACACTTACCATGCCAGAAAGCTAAAAAATAAAAATAAAAATGCAGAGCTTGGTAGTTTGAAGCAGCTGTTTGGGACATCAAATCCCCTTCAGCTGGCCTCTAAAATGAAGCTGAGCAACTGCAGGGATTATTAAGAAATGACACAAGGCATAGGGAAAGCAGTCTGAGATGAAGACTTGTCTAATATCTATCATATCAAAACCTTAATTCTTTCTCTCTTAATTCGTTTTTCAGGTCTGTTCAGGGCTGCGGTGCCCAGCGGAGCATCCACAGGGATCTATGAGGCTCTGGAGCTCCGAGATGGAGACAAGAGCCGCTACAAGGGCAAAGGTATGAAGATGCATCAGCTGAGCTTGCACAGACCGTTACATTCGATGAGAACTTAAAGCTGCATTCAGTATTTATGACCACAAGAGGGCGAACAATGAAGAGATCACTGACTAACAGAAACAGAGTGCTGTTTTCAGTGACTAGTGCTGCATTTATATGATACCAACACACTTCACATTTTATAAAAACCCTACAAAACAAAATAAAAACATAATAGACATAATATAGATTTTTATAAAAGCTTTATATACCCAACAAAAGTAAAAGCACTTAAGAAGAAATAAGCCAGATGTGTTGACAATGACAAAAATATAGAACATTCAGAGACCTTTAAAGTAAAAATTACAGTTTTCTAGAAAGTTTCTTTAATTCAGTGTTTGTGACGCTGTTAAAACCTTTGTCCTGTCGACGTATTCCTCTCACAAATAGTTTTGCAGTGTAGATGTTTGGACATCTTATTTTTATTCATAATATGACGCTAAAATGCCACAAAAGTCTTGATAAAGTCCAGCATTTTAAATTTGTCTAACAAATCATTTTTACTGCTGGCGAACACTGAAAGACACTTCAGTGACTATAAAACAGCCATTGAGGCTGCGGTGCTCACCTAACCCTCAAACAAATGAATCCACAGTAAATCTCACCCTAGAGTTGCTGCAAAAGCAATCAGTGCTGATATGAAAACATTTCCAAGTAATTTGGAACACTAATAAATAAAACTGTGCTCTGTTTTCACTACAATTTAACATTATTTGTTATTGATAATTCACGTGTTCACCTCACGTTTTGTGATGCTGTGCGTCTGATTTCCTTCTTTGTCACTTTAGGTGTTTTGAAGGCAGTTGGGCACATCAACGATACTCTGGCTCCAGCCCTTTTAGCCTCTGTAAGTCCTCACATCACTTATTATACTATAGAGGATTAACGTCAATCTTAAACCTATTTTTTGTTATGTACTCAGTTTAATATAGTACTTTCTTAATCGAACTGACCGCTCAAAATAATTTTTAGCTACAAGCACTCTGTGATTCCTGTGAGCTGAAACAACAGCTGCAAACATCTGCATTAAAGCATGGATTTCTGCTTTTTTCCCATTATGATGGGAGTGAAAGGGGATATCTTTCATATGGTCATCTCACACACAGATGCCCCACCCACGTCCTGTTCTGAGCAGCAGCCAATCAGACAAAAGTTGGCTTAAAAGACGGAAGAAAATAGCCAAAACATCCAAAACAGCTTGATTATCATGATTATTGTGACCTTTTGATCACACTAAGCTGCTTTAGTTGGAAATAATGGAGCTGGAAATAAATATAATAGGTTCCCTTTAAAGGGAAATTTAATTACCATTATGAATGTCTTCTAATTAATCATTGTGTTGGGAGCCGTGCATTAAAAACTGCACACATGTGTTTGTGTGTCTCCACATTTTATAGCCTTAAATAATTAGCTGTTTGAGTTATTGAGGCTGAAAATGTTAAGACTTAAAATGTGAATAATTGTCTTGGAACAAACAATTGTCATCAGACGACAGCTGATGGATTACCATACTGACTATTTAGTAACTCCAGAAGTGGAGTTTATATGTGGTAAATGTTCCCAATATGTCATACTGGTGGGATGTTACACTTTTTAAATAACAAAGCATGGTAGTTTAGCCTACATAATGAGTGTTTGTCTTATTTGTTCAGTCTAATGTGTAATAAAGATTTAAGAATGAAGCTTTTACTGTGCATCAAACCCTGATCTTAATATTTCCACACACACATTGGAGGAAAAGTGGGATTTTCATCAGTTAGCGGCACAATAAAGTTCTGTGGTTTATTTCTGTAGTAAAACTCTGAAGTGGACGTTAATGACAGAAATCTGAATCCTTTGAATATTATTATAGAAAAAAATTATTTTTATTTATCATTATTTATAATGTTGTCAATGTAACAAAAAACATGTCAAATTATAAATGTTGGCAAACAATGAATTTAAATGAAAAGAATCGCAGGTAATTCACAGAAAAGGTGAAGGCTGAAGCTTTAGTGTATTACACATGCACTATTTGAAAACATTTCCTAAATGGAAACTCTTTCGTGAATGAATGATTTTACTCAATGACATTACAAAAATCTGAAAAGAGGGGCTTTATGGAAAAACGATCTCATGTCTTTTACATTTACTGCAACTAAATGTATGTATGTAACACATATGACTGTAGACTATATGTGAATATCACCACTTATGGTTCTGCTTTTGTCTGCAGGGCATCAGCGTGGTGGAGCAGGAGCAGCTGGACAACATGATGATCGAGATGGACGGCACAGAAAACAAATGTGAGTTGAAACCCGACAGGAGCAAATCGAGATGACTAACAGCACATCATCAGAGTCTAGCAGCCAGCTGGAAATCTCCCCGTTCCTGCAGCTCAGCATCCATTCGTGTGAAGTCACACACATTTTGAAAAATGCTTTGCGCCGAAGGTTTGTCACAGAGCGCCTCACAGAGCGCCTCGCAGAGCGACGAGGGGCATAAATACAGATTGAGCAACGAGATTTGTGTTCCAAACAAGCTTTGGCACGATCAATGCAAACTCACATCTTTAATAAATAAATGCAGTGCTCATTTATTATAATTTAAAATCATGTTCAGGCAGCAGTGTAATCAGCCCTCAAAGTAATGTCGTTTGGGAGAAATTAATCTCTGCCAGCACGGAAACCTGTCAGACTGAACTGCAGCTGAATGTATCGGCTTTCAACGACAAACATGCTTATACCCAAAGAGCCGTGGCATTTCACTTTGCTTTAGTTTTTACAGTTACACAAATTTAAACTCATTTTTTAAATCTATGGTTAAAAAATAGTGAGATAATCTTTTTAAATTAAAGCAAAAGATGAAAGAATTTAAAGCAACAACATATCGAGGAATAAATTGTGTTTTTCAAAAGAATAACAAAATGTAAGGTAGCATGAAAAAAATGTCAGTAAATAGAATCTGATTTGAATCATGGAATCTATATCAGAAATGCTAAAGTTTGAGTTTAAAGGTTTAACTTTTAACTCTTTAAAAATCATGTAAATTTGAATGGATCCAATACTCACTACAAAATGTTGCAGCTACAGTCGTACTAAAGGTGACAGATACTTCTGGATGTAGGCTTAATCCAGGAAAAATCCAGGGAAATGGCTGTAAATGGAATCTTACCTGCCAAACTTGGTCATGCCAAATACGATCTACATTTAACATTATTTATTTAAAGTTTACTGAAGAAAACAGCATTAATCATCATAAAACCCCCACATCTACCTGTGTGTCAAAGAGGCCACGCTCCTATAATGTAGCCAGGTTGTAAACATGCTTTTTCTGCTATAAAATTGGACCTTTAACATAGAAGTTAGCAGGAACTGACTCCTTAAAATGGTTTTTCAGGGTAAGTGATACGACGTGGCACATTTTTGCCAGTAAAACTGAGACACTAGACACTGTGGATGCTAACACCCATCACTTTCTCTCTTATGACCTTTCAAACAGCCAAGTTTGGGGCCAACGCCATCCTGGGAGTGTCTCTAGCCATCTGTAAGGCTGGCGCAGCAGAGAAAGAAGTCCCCCTGTACCGCCACATAGCCGACCTGGCTGGAAACACAGAGCTGGTGCTGCCGGTTCCTGTAAGCATTTAAATCACTGCAGAACACCTACAGTGCTGTGGAAACATTCACACGGCACCTTGTTGTTCAGTATGTCACTGAAGGATTATTAGAACACCATGTAATGTAACATTTCATATATTTAATGCTTCTGTTTACACCACATTTAAATACTTCTGCACACTGGCGAGACGTCTCTACTAAAAGTCTTTTTGATTAGTTGCTATAGAAACACAGAAAGTGATGGATTCGAGGACCTTTAATCGTTTTTAAAGCCTTCTTTCTGCCTTTTTGTTTCCTTTCCTCTTCTTTTCTCTTCTCTTCAGGCCTTTAATGTGATAAACGGAGGATCTCATGCAGGAAACAAACTGGCCATGCAGGAGTTCATGGTGCTGCCAGTTGGGGCTGAATCTTTCAAGTAGGAATTCACCTTTAAAAGCATTGACTGTTCATAAAAGTCTGATTTCTCAGCTGCTAGATTTATTTGATTTAATGCATTTCTCGTTAAATCATCCTGCTTTGTTGTTTTTGAAACCACAGCTGGTGTTGCTCCTTGCCTCCCTGTTCTTGCATCCTGTCACAGTCATTAACAGGTATCTCTTCTGTCTCTCAGGGAGGCGCTAAGGATAGGATCAGAGCTCTACCACACACTGAAAGGAGTCATTCAGGAGAAATACGGCCAAGACGCCATCAACGTTGGAGACGAGGGAGGATTTGCTCCCAACATCCTGGAGAACAGTGAGGGTGAGGAACAGATATTTGAATAATTAACAATATGTTTGGGTCTGTTTGCAGCAGCTTTTAAGCCACCTTCTTTAACTGGAGTGGGAATCAGTAGATAGATCTGGGAAAGCTTTGATTATGGAAAATTTCTGTAAACATGATCTTTACTTGACTTCCATTGGTAAACAAAACAAAATCTAAAATGGAATATTTACTGACATGTAAGTTTAATATTACTTAATAGGTTCAGTCATCAGAAATGCTTTAGATGTTTTCCACCTCTCAGTACTGCCTGTCTGCAGCCTGAGAAGCTAACTCATACAGAAGACATGTTTGAGCCTAATCTGGCCTACTTTCAGCACTTACAGCTCAGTTGTAGTACTCACACAGTTGTGGCCAAATATGGACCAAATATACCTGAGATGTGGCCCATATATAAATTGGACCTGAGTCAACGCTGTCAGTCAAAGCTAAATGTGGCCCTTCCACGTGGACCACATTTGGGGCAAACATGCCTGCCTACCCGAGAAGCCTGGGGGCAAAAGATTCACTCCATTTCTTATTTTATATCCCCCCCTTGTCTCTTTCTTTGTTCTTCAGCTCTGGATCTGCTGCAGACAGCCATTGAGAAGGCTGGCTTCACAGAAAAGGTAGTAGTCGGGATGGACGTTGCCGCCTCGGAGTTTTACCGTGAGGGGAAGTACGACCTGGACTTCAAATCCCCACCAGATCCAGAGCGACACATCACTGCAGAGGAACTGGCTGACATCTACCAGGGCTTCGTCAACAGCTACCCAGGTTTGCTTATTTAAATTTGTACAAAATGCAACTGGTGTTTGGTTCAATGCAGTTCAGTCAATGTCAAATGGTTAAAAAAGTAGTTCTTTATCTAGTGATAAAATAAGTTAATGTGACATAAAGGTGAAATGCTTATTTCTTCAGTAGTGTTGCTGGACTGCAGAAACACGACATGCTTTTAAATCCAAGGTTGCTGACTCTATGAAACCCAAAGAAAAACGGCTTGGCCTTTTAGCTAGCTGACATTTTCAGCTGACTTAATGATTTGAACACAGGACTTCAGGGCCAAATGCTTTTATCTCCACCCTTGTTTACGCATTGGGACGGTGAAAATTCAGCATTTTCTCCATTAGTGGATTACTCTCAGGCTCAGTAAAATTTCTGGGGGTTTTTTGGGGTTCTTTTTGTTGGTTTTTTTTGTTTTTTTTTTTTCCTTAAATAATACAGAAGAGATACAGAAACCCGTCAACAATAATAAAGACAATAATAAGGCCAACTGGATTTGGAGGATTTACAAGCATTACAGGTGATATGAAGTTTGTAGAGAAGTCACTTGGAGGTGTGACTACTATCAGTGTCGTACTGGATTAAACTGTGTTGCATTAGTCCTTCTCCAGATGAGGCTGACTTTTTTCTGCCGCTGTTCTCTGCAATAACGTTTAATGTCCCCTCTATGACCCATTATATTTTTCCCCATTTAAGTATGTAAGTAAAGATTTATTTATTTCATAGACAGGCAGTCACAAAGGGCTGTGCACAAAGATAAAAATAAACAGAACGTTAAGTAACAAAGTAGACAATATACACAATATAAAAGGTTAAATGTAAATACAAATGTAAAAATAAAATCTATCATATATAAACAGCTTCAGTGGTAGGAGCTCAAATGAAACACTGTAAGACTTAAATGGTAAAATCAGTGAGTGTAGAAGTAATCCCTGTGAGCGGAGCTCTGTATGATGTCATTGAGAGAGGACATGTAATCAGATCCCTCCATCCATCTTCTTCTACGAATCCAGTCCGAACTCTCATGGGGCGAGAAGAGAGATAAATAAGGGTTGTTTTGATTCCAAGAATAGCTCTGTGTAACCAGTTGTGCCATGTGTCTCACTTCCTGTAGGGATCTTTTTACTCTGTAACACTCATCTGATCTGGCCTGAAAAGACCTGTGAGTTGTCTGCTATGAGATATACTTTGAAAAGTCTAAAAACGGAGTTCAGGGCAGCTGAAAGAGTTCCCTTTGTACCACTTAAATGATGATATCTTGAAATTGTCCAATAATTTCAAGGACTTGTGTTGTGTTATCTGAAAAATTACATTATTGGTTATTATTATTAAATCACTAGTTAGCACTAGCACTCCCCCTATTGATGAGTAACAGACCTCTCCTTTTTCACTTCCAGTGGTGTCCATCGAGGACCCGTTTGACCAGGATGACTGGGAGGCCTGGTCGCGCCTGACGGCCCAGGTTGGGATCCAGGTTGTTGGGGATGACCTGACGGTGACCAACCCCAAGAGAATAGAGAAAGCTGCTGAGGAGCGAGCCTGCAACTGCCTGCTGCTCAAAGTGAACCAGATCGGCTCTGTCACCGAGGCCATACAGGCGTACGTCTGCTTTGTCCACAGTTCAATGAGAAATTTCAGTGTGGACACGATTCACATTGTGGAAATCAAAACAAGGCCATTTAATAAATGAAAGAAGTTACAAATTCTTACATATTGGGTATTTAAAGATCCATAAATTCAATTTGTCACTGACACAGTGTTGTCCTGGAGCTACAGAGTAACCCTCCACCCCCTCAGGCAGGTCCGTGACCTCGAAGCCTCGGATTGGCCGAACAGCGCTTTCAATCTTTGCTGAGGTGACAGAGAGAGGCACAGCTGTCCAGCTGTCAGTCAAAGATGTGGAAATATAGACACACACATACCCAGTGGATGTCGCTATAGTGTCAGTCACATCGGTCATTACCTGTCAGCCATGTTGGCCTTGTTCCATTTATGGCGGATATATGAAGGACAGGAAGTGACAGAAGATGTTTAGGATAAGGTTCAGCTATCGGTCAGACATACTGCTGACGTGGGTTGGCACTGCTGCGTATATGTTTCTGTACACTTGATGATAAATTTGTGAAGAGTGTGTTTGCTCCAGTCTTGGATGTGTGTATCATCTATAACAGACTTACCAAACTGTCACTCAGGGTTATGAAGCCATCAGTCACAACAGTGTAGCTGGATTAGAGCAGGAGGGGAGGAGGGAGATTAAATGATAGACACAGAGCTGATGACAGTAAAGGTGATGTATTACATCCATCACATGAAAAGCTTCCTGCATCGTGAATCTGATACATTAGCTACTTTTTTTTTATAGCTCACGCGAACCCCGAGGGGGCAATACACTTTATGTCTTAATCTTCATGTTGTTAGCAGGTTAACATGCGAGATGAGCCGCAGTTACAAATGAATTATATCAGATTAATTAACTTGTCCAATTAGCACAGCGCAGTTAATATATGCAGCACAGTGTGGCATCAGTGTGTAGAGGGAAGGTGAACTATGTGCTCCCACGACCTTCAGTGCTGCCTCGTACTGTGCTACAGTGGTTAGCATCCAACCCTCTTCAGTAGTCCACCTAAATAAAAAGTGACTCTTAGTGGTCGCTTTTAGGGATTTATGTCATTGTTGGATTTTAGGGTTGAAAGAAAGCAGAGTTTAGCCTTTTTTGTAGGCATAGCTAAAATTATGTTGTCTCTCGGCTTCGTATGTTCTTGTCCCACGGTGTCAAACGTTACCCAGTGAACATTTCAACACCGGGAAACCGCTGTCTGACTGTCTTTTGTAGCTGTCTAGTTTTGGTTAGAGAAAATTTAAGTTATGACGCTTTGGAGATGTAACTTTGCTATCAGGTAGAGATCTTTCTTAGCAAAGGGAAGTTTGTCTATGGGAACAGTTTTATTATCAATTATTATCCTTTTATCAATTGGAAGAAAATGAAAATGACTAACAGAGTGCTTTGAAACAAACTTTGTCCTTCAGGTGTAAGCTGGCTCAGGCAAATGGTTGGGGTGTGATGGTCAGCCATCGCTCAGGAGAAACAGAGGACACCTTCATTGCTGACCTGGTGGTGGGACTCTGCACTGGACAGGTAAGTTTAGAAGCTGACTCCAACGTTTAAGTCTCTCCTCCAAACCAAAGTCAATGTTATGGCTGATGTAGATATAGGTTTCAGGTTTTTGTCCTTGTAAGGATGTAAGAATCCACAATCGTTTAGCTATTGTTTTTTTTCTTGTTGCCTTTAAAATGTCAGTAAACTAAACTTACAGTGAATATTACGTTTTGTAAGTTTGTTTTAAATATATAAAATAAATTGTGAAGTAAACTGAACAAGATAAAATAAAGATATTAGTGCATTTCTTCATGAGAAATTTAACTTCAGCCTTATATTGTTTTGTATTATTCTTTAGACTAACTGACTATAAGTGAATGGAACTAAATGTCTAAAATAATTATCAATTCTCTTCTAAACACAGAAACACACATTTTATTTTATCTTTTGCTAATACAGTAACAATAGCCAATTTAAATAATTTTCTCTTATGACCTTAATTCTTTAGTATGACCTTTAGCCCATAAAATATTAGCATTGTGCTAATGCATGCTGATAGTTACACAGCTGAAGTGCAGGTACACCACAATACAAACCTCCATATTTGTACAAAGAAGCTGGTTAGGGTGGCTGAATGATGCTATCCTCTAGCTAAACTTCTCGTTCACCTCACTAAATTTACATTTTTGGGCTACAGCTCCACAACTGTCCAGCTTCATCCTGAACTATCATTCAAGTGTTTCCCTGTGAAGCCAGAAGTCCAGAGAGTTCTTGGTGTTATGTTTTAATATTCTGTTGGTCACCTGCAGGATAATGTTTATCTTACTGTTGCAGATTAAGACTGGCGCCCCCTGCAGATCTGAGCGGCTGGCCAAGTACAACCAGCTCATGAGGTCAGTGTGCTGCAGACAGAGAGGTCTCTCTCTCTCTCTCTATATATATATGTATATATATATGTATGTATTTAATGTGAAAACATTCTGAATCTAGAATTAAAATAACTCTAAAAACAGTCCTTTTTTTCAGTATTTACTCATGGCTTGGTTGTTGTTCTTCTGGCCTGTTGAATGTTTAGTAGCCCCTTTTTTTAGCTCCAGATCAGGCGGCAGCATTACAGCGCAGCTCCTCAGGTGCCTGCTCTGTCCTAGTGCTTACCATCAGAGAGCTAATTGACATGACAGGCGACAGGAGCGCTGGTGTCACCCCATGTGCCCAAGCCAGTCAGTGGCAGGGGGAGGTGGGAGGAGGAGACAGGAGGGAGGGAGATTGGATCGGCTCAGCGGTGTAATCCCATTGGACTGCTGAGGACCTGTTAAGGGTGCAGAGACTTAACGGGGGCATTAACGAGCAATAAATGCTAATCAGCGCAGTCGAGCGTGAACACACACACGTGAGAATCTGTTGTGCAGCAGGTAGATGCTGTAACATGAGCTTTTTAACAATGGAAAAACTGAGTTGTGATTTGCATTTTCGCATACATCCTGTTTAATTTTTTTATATGACCAATGATCTTCTAATGTTGATTATTTTGCTTTTATCTAGGGATATAAATGGATTATTTTGCCTGCAGCTGTGGTGCAGTGACGTGGCAGCTTGTCAGATTTTTGTTGATTTGTTGAAGTTTTTATGCAAAGCAGATTATAAGTAAGAAGGCTGTGCTGGACATGCAGATATTATTTTCAATATATATGATCACATGTCGCCAGTGCAAAGAATATAAACTCTTCCTGGTTACAGGCTGACCTTATGAAGAAGAACAGAAATTATTTCCTTTCAAAAACAATTAAAAAATGTTGTTTTTGTTTCTGTCTTCCTGCCACTGTAGGATTGAGGAAGAGTTGGGCGACCAGGCTCGCTTTGCAGGCCACAACTTCAGGAACCCCAGCGCTCTGTGAAACTGACTGACGAATGACTTGCAATGACACACACACACACACACACACACACACACACACACACACACACACACACACACACACACACACAAGGAACGAGCCATGTATAAGGACAGATTACAGATAAGCAAAAGAAAATAGCTAAAAATAACTAAATAAATAAATTATGCACTGAACTTAAAGGTAGGGAGATGAAACTGTATGCACACACACACACACTCACACACACA